GGGGTTTAGGGGTGAATGGGGTTTAAGGGCCCTGTGCTCGCCAGGGTCGCAGGACTCCTGGGTTCCCTGCCACAGCCCGGCTGGTCGTGTCCCCTTTCCGGGCTCCGTTTCCCACCGGGGCGCAGGGGGCTTGGAGACAAACCTGGCCACAGAGCCGGAGGACAGAACAGGCTGCTCTATGCCACGTACAGGGGGGTTAGGCACACGGACGCCCCTTTCCCAGCCTGTGAGTCGGGCAAAGCTGCCGCACCCGCCAGTCCTCCAAGACTCGCAGCTGCACAGGCCGGAAGAGCCATGGTGGGGCCCACCTGCTCTGGAACCAGGCCCGCTCCCTCCTGGAGCCCCAGGAATTGGGGCTGAACAAACATGCGAAGCCCAGGCCTGCTCCTTAGCCGACGGGGCTTTTCTTTGTGCCGAGGGGAGAGTTGTGTGCCATGGTCAGCTCCCACGGCTGCATTTCTGCTCTAACTCCTAGGCCCTACTCCCCTTCCAGGGCTGGAAATAGAACCTGGGAGTCCTGGCTCCCAGCCTGCCCCCCAACCCTCAAAGCCCACTGCTTTCCCCAGGGCTGGGAATAAGAACCCAGGAGTCCCGGCTCCCAGCCCCATGCTGTACCCGAGGGCGCCCCATGCCCTCCTGAGCCCAGGGAGTCCTGACCCCTAGTGGCAGAAAGGCCCGGGGGTCCACCCCCACGCCCTGCAGTTGTGTGGAAAAGGAAAGGAAAACAGGCCCGGACCTTGGACTCATTTGGAAACCTGGGCAAATATTGATCCTTCCCAGCCGGGAACAATGGCCTTTAAAACAATACCGGCTGGAGCCCAGGGACCATAAAAGTTAAACTGTAAAAGTAGCTGCCTCGACAATTGCAGCACCTGGCCCTTTGGCTCCCCTGGGAGGACACTGTGGCCTGGGAGTCTCGGAGCGTGTCACGAGCAAAGACCATCAGTGGGGCCAGACCCCTGGGGGGCCACGGACCTCGGTCTGCCGGAGCCAGTGGGGTTTCCGGTACAGGCTGGACCTCCCTGGTCCGGCACTCTCAGGGCCCGACTAGTCCCGGACGAGGGATTTTGCTAGACCAAGGGAGGACATTTCTGGCCCGCTTGCTGCCAGCCCCACCCCCTGCCCTGCCCTCCCATCCGGATTCCTAGCTCCTTCCAGCCCAGCTGAGCCACACGCCACCTCTCTGCCCCCCCAGCCCAGCTGAGCCACACGCCACCTCTCTGCCCCCCCAGCCCAGCTGAGCCCCGCCCCCTTTGCACGGGGGAGTGACACTATAAAAGATGCTGGCTCCCCCCAGCCAGCCTGGGTCGGTTTGGAGCTGCGGGTGTCACCGGGCTCGGTGGGGCGTCTAGTGCTGATCTTTGTCGATTGTGCAGCCTCCCTGTGGTTTGGGCGGAAACATCGCTGACGGGCTTCTCACCTTGGCGTGAAGGGCGCGAGGGCCCGTGCCTGCTGAGGGCATCTTGGCAAGGGGACGTTGGTCTGACGCCCCATGGAAACCCCCCTGCGGATTCCACGGCAGACATCAGGGGCTGACAAGAAGGGGTGGCCAGGCCGGGGGAAGGGGCAAAAAGCACGATGAGAAGGATCAAGGGTAGTAAATCTTGCCAGAGGGCGAGGCTGGAGAAGTGGCAGCCCTTTGGCTTAGAGCAGGGGAGGCCAACCCGCTGCTCTCGAGCCGCATGTGGCTCTTTGCTTAAAGAAATGCGGCTCTTGCTAGTTCTGAGCCGTGCACCCGGACTGCTCTGCACACGCACCCCGGCACCTGACGGGAGAAGCGCGTGGTGGTGGTGACAGCTCCGGGACCCAGGCATTGGGTTAGAGTGGGGGGGGGGGACGTAGAGGGAGCTGGGGGTGCCTGTCTCTGGGGTAGAGAAGGGGGATTGGGCTAGAGCAGGGGGGGCTGAAGCAGCTTAAACTCAAAGTCTTCATGGATGCAGAATAAGGCAACCAACACAGATGTCATATTTAAATTCCAGGGCAAAAAAAGAATCGGCATAGTGTTTCTTTAAAGAAAATGCAAAGGCTATTGTTTGCCAGGCTGAAGCAATGATTCTGAGATACGAGTCTCTCCCGTATTGATTTTGAACCTGTCATATTTGCAGCCTGGGACAGACCTGAATTTTGAGAACTATAAAAAAGCCATAATTTCCATAAGTAACAATAAAAAATGAGGAAACCATAATAGAGATCAACAAACTGGAGTGAAACAGGCAATTTTAAATTGTGCTAATTTACCTCTCAGTTCAATTTTAAAAAACTCACAGGCCATAACAGGGCAGTAGTGTTCAATTTATACATGGTAGGGATGCTTTTTTTTTAGTGTGAGAATATTATTGTATTTTTAAAGATTTTTTTTTTAGATTTGATGCTTGCTCCTTTTCAAGTTCTCTGAAGATCTATGGACTAGCTGTGAATTTTTTAAGTGACTAGAGACTTTTTTATTGGGTTTTGTCCAAAATGTCCGGTAATGTTATTTTTATCAGTACATTTTGTGTACTATATCTATATATATATATATATATATCTATATATATATATATATATACACACACACACACACACACACACACACACACACACACACACACACACACACACATATGT